CTTTCTTTCTTTCTTTCTTTCTTTCTTTCTTTCTTTCTTTCTTTCTTCCTTCCTTCCTTCCTTCCTTCCTTCCTTCCTTCCTTCCTTTCTTTCTCTCTTTCTTTCTTTCTTGGATCCTTTCTCTTTGGCCCCCACCTAGTCTTCATAGATCTGAACTGCGAACTAGAAACCTGTAATAAATAGAGAGCTCACCTCCAAATCTTCCCATATTTATTGAAGCACTCACTGTCGAATTTCACAAATCCCTGGGTGGGGGGAAAAAGATTTTAAATGTTTAGAAAAAAAGGATTCTGGAAGTTGAAGCCCACAAGTCATGGGAAGGGCCATTGTTCCCCACCCCTTATTGGAAGGTTGTGTTGGTAGTCTGTATATCTATCAATACTCACTTTGCGGTTATTCAAGATTGTCCCAAAGAATGGCAATACGGTTGGACCATCAATCCCCACTTTGCGGAGAATTCGAAATGGCCAAACTCCATACCTGGAAAGAGAAAAAAAAAATGGGATTCAGACGAAGCCAGGAGATGTTTGCTGAACCATGTGTGATTGAGTAAATCTTACTCAGATGGCTATGCACTGAAGGGTTGTTGTTGTGTTTTTAGAAAAATCACTGTGGGGTCCTTGGTGCTCTCTGAACTGGGTTGTTTTCTTGTAGACATTTCATGACCAAACTAGGTAACATCACCAGTGCTAGAAGGGAGAGGGGTGTGCTCTCATTTTACATTCTAGTGGCTTGCCCTGTCAACTCCACTCCCTTCTAGCACGGATGATGTTACCTAGTTGGGTCCATGAAACATCTGCAAAGAAAACCACCAAGTTCAGCGAGCAACAAGGACCCCTCACTTCAACCCTGAGCTACAAATATTCTCTTCTTTTTTTAAAAAAAAAAAAGAAATCACAGCTAACTAACTATAATGACTGAATTCATAAAACCTGCCAAGTCCAAACTGTGGAACTGTATGATATGGGAAGCAGGTCACGAATTTGATAGATTCACTGGCAATAAAGGGTCAATGCAATATCTCAGGCCAAAGTTGTGGGACCTGTTCTTTCTAACCATAACAGATGAAGAAGGAACGTCTGTTGTCCCACTGCAAATTTCTCTCTCTCTCTCTCTCTCTCTCTCTCTTCTTGCTCTTCTCTTCCCTTTCTCGATAGATCCTCATTTTTTTTTCCAGGCATGGTGTCAGCCAGGATATAATTGCCGATGGGAGAATGCAATCATGCCTGATAAAGATGATTAGAAGACTCAACCTCATCATGACCAATGAGCCTCTCGAATAATAAAATGACCGCTTAGTTAAGTGATTTGGAGAGATCGCTGTTAATCAACGGGAGAGGCCATTTTCGTTTTCATCCTCATCCAGGTAAGTCGAAACCTGCTCAATTGAATTCTTCCTGTTATTCCAGAGTTCAAAGGGAAGGACACCATGTGCCCTTCTTCTATTTCACCTGCATAACTTCTTCAATGACATTGTGTAAAACACACGGGAGACATCGAAGATACAACGGTACCTTGGTACTCAACTGCTTTGAAACTCGTCGAATTCGGTATTCAACGATTTTGATGCGAAAATTTGGTCCCGGTACTCATTGTTTGTTTATACTCAAAATGCAAGCCAGAATTATCGGTGTTGGCTACCTTATGGCTCAGGACATTATTCCTTATGGGGGGGTGGGAAGGAAATTGTTTGATACTCATCATTTTTGATACTCATCACACCTCCCAGAACCAATTAAGACTGAATACCAAGGTACTACGTATCAGAAACTGTATTTTATTAATTTGGATCACATCAGCAGAGATCTATCTGTCTTCTTGTAATAAATAACTTCCAAAGGTTGGCAGTTTTGAAGGTGAAATGAGGGGCACACCTCAAATTCATTTCAGTTTTCTGTTTAACCAATAAAGGAAAATATTTGTAGCTCAGGGTTGGTGCTCTCTGGGCTTGCTTGTTTTCTTGCAGACATTTCATGACCCAGCTAAGTAACATCATCAGTGCTAGTGTTTTCTGTTTAAGAACAGCAAGGTGAGAACAAAGACAGTTTCTTATGCTGATGAAGATTCTCAGTCACCCAGGTAGAATTGTTTGGAAGTTGAGTTATGGCAACTGGATCTCTTATCTTTTCCTCTTGGTTTGAAATGTTTGGCTTCTTCTCCAAGCAGCTTCTACAGTCTGAGCAAATTGACCAGCAGAACCTCATATAAGTTCTCCAAGATGGTTTCATTCAAGGTTAAGTAAGAAATCAAACCACCCTGGAAGGCATATATGGGGTTTCCCCAACCTGCTTTCGCAGACTGAAGAAGCTCCTGGAAGAAGCAGAAAAATGTTTTGAACCAACAAGACAAGACAAGAAGTCCAGGTGCCATGACTCAACTTGTAGCTACTCGTGGTTCTCAACATAGGAGGAGAAGAGGTTGGTGTTTGTTGCAATCAAGGGCCACCCGTGGAAATCTCCTGCACCCAGCCACCCTTTTTCAGCTTCTAAAAATAACTTAACTGAGATTTATTGACCTTTATCCTGGTAAATTATTCAGCGGCTTCCTTTTACAAGCCTGGGTGAGGTGTTTTATAAGTAATTGAAATATCTTGTCGTTGATGTTTAAAAAAATATCTCATCCTGCTTTGTGGGGTCCTGTGATTTGCTCTAAGTCGGGTTTTCTTTGAAAACAAGCCTGGAGAAATCTGTTAATCCAGTTTCTAACCTTATTCTCAAGGTGAGAAATATTGTCCACCCTGGTGTGGGTCAGAGAAAGGGATTTAGATGAAACCCATCCTGAGAATTAATGGCGCTGGAAACAAGATTTGATCCAGGAGCTTCAAGTTCTGAAAACACCTCTCTGAATGACCACATTCTATTAAAACATTCTGGATAGAAGATCAGCCTTGATTCATTATCAAAATCTGGACTGGGATTCCTAGCTGCCCATCAATGGATAGAAACCAGGTGCTGGGTGATTTTTACTCTTTGTGCACTGGTCACACCCATTTGCCCTGTTAGATTAAAACTTTATGGTCCTTGGTGGTCTCTGAGCTTGTTTTTTTTTTCTTTCTTGCAGCCATTTCACCACCCAAAAAGGTAACATCATCAGTGCTAGAACTTTTCTCAGACAGCATACCCAACTCCCTTTTAGCACTGCTGATGTTACCTACTTGGGGTATGAGACGTCTGCAAGAAAACAACCAAGTTCAAAGGGTATCACAGACTCCACAATTCAGCCTCAAGCTACAAATAATCTCTTCTATCGCTGTTGAAAATTAGGAGCTACCCCTTTATTGTTTTCTCAGAGCAATGAGGAAAAAGGACAAAAAGGAAAGGAGGAAAGCCAACGGAGGATACTTACAGCAGAAGAAGTCCCATCAAAAGCACCACCATGAACCATGTCTCCATGGATAAGGTAGGAAGAAGATCCATCGTGATTCTTGATTCTTGGATCATCTGGCTGGGTGATTCTTTAGCTAGAATTCTCTCCTTCAGCAGACAATTCTGGGACAATCTTCTTCTCCAGATTTCTTGGTTCTCCTTTGTCAGCCTTGCTATGACTGGAGAAGTGAACCTGTCCTGATGCGACTTTCTCCTATATTTATTTGCAAAAAAAGGAGGAGATTGGGTGCGCCTCCTGCTGACATATGATAGGCTGTGAAGTCAGATTAACCTGCCTGCTTTATTATGAAAGAGCAATTCAGATTGGCTTTGTTAGCGAGAACACAATGTACTTCAAAAGTTTTATTTTCCTTTACAAAATACACAATCACATATCGGTGTGTGTTTTGTTAAGTAATCAGGGCTGACTTCAGCTATGCCACCATCAGGACCCTGCATTTAGGTAGTTTTGAGAGGACCACAGTGGGGCTTTAGCAGAATGTGAAGCAAGATTGTTGATTCATGGACTAAAATATTTGTGTTATCATTTCTGATATGGATAGGCTCAAAGTGAGTTGCAACAAACCCATAAAGCAAACAAGTCAACCCAAGTCAAGTCCAACTTCAAAACATCTCCACTTCTTCTGATGTTAGAGGAAGGTGAGAAGTTATCAAGTTGGAGGTCACCAGGAATGACCATGTCTGTCTTATTCACAGCTTTGTGGGTGTTGAGCTCCCAATTGCATGTTTATGGCCTGAAATTTCAACTTCCCTGCCTAGCCCAGAGTCTTGAGCTTCCCGAGAAATTCCCAAAGGCAACATGGAAAGATAAGTTTTAACAAAGTGCCTGAAAAGAAGTTGCTCACATAGGAAGCACCACTCTGCTTATTTAGCTCAGGGTTCAACTGTGTGGTCCTTGGTGCTCTCTGAGCTAGGTGGTTTTCTTGTAACCATTTCATAGCCCAAGTATTTCATCATGCTGGAAGAAGTGGGGTTTACAGAGTTGAGGAGGAAGAGGAGGAAAAGGAAGAAGAAGAGGAGGAGGAGAGGAGGAGAAGGGCTGTGGAGTCCTTGGTGCTCTGTAAGCTCAGTTGTTTTCTTGTAGAGTTTTCATGGCCCAGTTGGGGAACTTCATTAGGGCAAGAAGAGAGTGGGATTTGGAGAGTTGAGGAGGAGGAAGAGGAAGAGGAATAGAAGGATGACAAGGAGGAGGAGAGGAGGACTGTGGGGGTTCTTGGTGCTCTCTAAGCTCAATTGTGGTTTTTTTGTAGATGTTTCATGGCCTAATTAGGGAACATCGGGGCTAGAAGAATGGAAGAGTGGTTTGCAGAGTGGAAGACAAGGAGGAGGAAGAGGAAGAGGAGGAGGAGGAGAAGGAGGAGGAGGAGGAGAAGAGGAGGACTGTGGGTTCCTTGATGCTCTCTGAACTTGACAGTTCTCTTGTAGACATTTCATGACCCAACTAGGTAACCTCTTCAGCACTATATTGCCAGCAAATTCCATAAATGATAGTAGAACTTTTCTCAGATAACTACATTTTTAGAGGTATCTTCTAGGATTTGGAGGCTGGTATTGGATGACCAGGAGGGCCTCCAAAGCATAGTTTATCACATTTTGATGTAACAGACAGAAGAAACGCGACCATCTCAAAGCCCATCCTTAGACAATTCAACCCAGGGCCTAAGACCTTCTTGGCGGTCCCCTTATATTCATTTCAAGCTTTGCACTAGAAATTTGGATCGCTCCGTATCAGGCGTCGATGGGGACTGGAAATGCCGAGCTCTAACTTGACTGATTGCTCATCAGCCTTGGTGAGCCTTGTGATTTATCGCTTCTGACCTTTTTCCCAGCAGGAAAGGCGGGCATTGCTCACCTCCTCCTGGTCTTGACTGTGACCTTCAGGTGCAAATTAATCCAGAAGATGAGGATGGAATAACCATGATATTCTAAACAATGCTGTTCACATGCAAATGGATACTTCAGGATGTCAGGGGAAAGGACTAAAAAAAACAATCAAATGGGAAATGGAAATGTATTCATCTCTGGCACCAGACTCGTTCTGGGAACAAAAATTGCTCTCCGTCTGCATTTCGTCACCCTTCGGGATTGCCTGAGCAGACTTCCCTCTCTGGTGCATTTGTTTTAGAGTCGGGTTTTTTTTTTGTTTTTTTGCTATTCTCTGAAAGTTCAGTTCAGTTCAGTTTCAGATCTGCTGACCTGTCCCTGATTACATAAGCCTTGGAGAAACAGAGCGCTTGCTATTAACTCAGCATGGATCATGGAAAAGATATCTGATAGGAGGTGAACATCTTGTCCAAGGTTGACCCTATCATCCTCAGAATTCTCCCTGTGTCCTTCTGACCCAGCTAGGTAACATCATCAGTGCTAGAAGAGGGTGCAATGGTGGTATTCAGCTGGTTTGCACCGGTTTCGGAGAACCGGTTGCTAAGTTTCTGAGCAGTTTGGTGAATGGATTCTTGGAAGAAATCATTAGAGTGGAGAACCACTCGTTCAATTATTTGTATCCCATCACTGAGAAGGTGGAGTTTGCGGAAGGGAGCAGGAAGAGGATTATGGGCTCCTTGGTGCTTTCTGTATGGATGGTTTCAGCTTGGAATGTTTTTGGACACTGCCGCAAACGTCTATAAATTCTTCCTCTAAAAATAATCCACCATTCAGAGATGTTTAACAGCTGAACCTCTAGTCTAGGAGAGAAAAGGTTGACAGTAGTAAGTGGGGTAGTAGGTTGATGATAGTAGGCAGGGTAGTAGATATGACATTGTCCTTGGTGCTCTCTGAGCTGGTGTTTTCTTGCAGACATCTCATTACCCAACTAGGTAACATCATCAGTGCTAAAGGGAATGAGGTTTGCTCTCCCTGCCCCCTACTCTACTTCCATTGTAAATTCCCTCCCATCTTCCCCTGAAGAATTCCTTCAAGGCCTTGTGGGAAATTCAATAACCACTTTCAATCCCCCAAGGCTACAAGGGCCTATGCAATTTTTTTCCACATCACCTTAAATACAAAGCTCTCCTGGGAGGTAAAAGAGCTGGATGCTCATCCCTGAACGAAATGACATCCCGACACAGAATCATAAAATTGGGTTTCTCTATTTTTTTTTATTTCAATTCTCCCTGAAAGGAATTAATTATGCGGAAGTGAGCTTGCCCAGATATGGCGCCTTTGTACAAAATCCGATAAGCTGTGTTCTCAGCAGCAGGGGTGAAATATGCAAGCTATTATTATTGTTATTATTGTTGTTGTTTTACTCAGATGGATATAAATGCAATGGGTTATCCTATTTACTCTTTCAGCTTCATTCTCCTGTTTCGTTTTAAGACATAGAACCTCTAAAGGATTCTATATCCTTCCATATCATTTTTTTTTTTACAGATTTGACACGGGGTTGAAACAAAGTTCTCCGTATCATTTAAACCAGTTATGAGGAGCCCCCCAAAAAAGAGAATATTGCCTTTTCTGCTTCCTTCTTCCAGAGGTTCTCCCCAATTTCTAATAAGTCTGATGTAATTGAATGCAAACAGAAGCATCTTGTATCTGTTGCAATCAAGGCACAAGAAATTGAGCAAATAGATCTAAGTTGTACGACTCCTAGGAATGATTCCTATAAAAAGTCTTGGATCATCGAATTTTGATTCCAAAGCAAGAACAGGTGGAGGGGGGGTGCGAAATTACAGGGAGTTCCTTTAGTGACCAATAGAAGTTACAACAGCACTGGAAAAAAGGGAGTTAGGACTTGCGATGACCTGGGGCGTGGCACAAAGGCAACACAGTCACATAATCAAGAAGAGTCCCTTTATTATCTCCAACTTTGCCCCCAATGTCCAGGTTACCTTCTGGCTGAAGAAAAACGCTCCCAGAAACAGCCTTTGAAGATCTTCTAGTCCAGCCCCCGCTCAAGCAGGAGAACATACTATGGGAGAACATATACTATTTCAGACAAGTGATGGTCTAGATTCTTCTTAAAAGCCTCCAGTGATGGAACACCCACAACTTCTGAAGGCAACTTCTGTTCTGCTGGTTAATTGTCCTCCCGGTTCGGAAATTTCTCCTTAATTCCAGGTTGCTTCTCTCCTTCCATCCTTCGTTTCTTGTCTGGCCTTCTGGTGCTTTGGGAAATAATTTGACCCCTTCCTCTTCTTTGGGGCAGCCCCTCCAATACTGGAAGGCTGCTATCATGTCACCCCTAACCCTTCTTTTCTTTAGACTAGCCAAACCCATAACCTGCAACTATTCATCCGATGGTGGACGTGCTGTGAGAGTTAATATCATGTTGTATTAACCACGCACACGGCGCACACGATAAAATAGGGGCGGGCATGGAATTGAATGACTGATTCTGACAATTTTGGAGGGCAAAAGCTACACCATGTCCTGGTTTAGTGGGTCAGACTCTCCGTGTTGAACTTACGATGCTCCCCCAGATGTTTAAGCAGCCCATTTCACCCCTGTTAAGAAGTTTTACAGGTAGACCTTAAAACAAACATTTAGCAACTGCTTGAAATTACAACGGCCCTGAAAAAGAGTGACTTATGACTGGTCCTCACATTTACAACTGTGATTGAATTTCAACCGCTTGGCAACTAGTATGTATTTATGATGGTTGTAGCATCCTGGAGTCACGTGATCGCCGATTATCCACGCACAAGAGTGAACTTAGCAACTGTCCGTTTTTCTTCCAGTGTTTGCCCATCAAGCCTCAATTATAAATACAAAAGGAGAACAGAGTGGGAAGGGACTTTGGAGGTCTTCTAGTCCAATCTTAGCAAGAGGCCCTAAACCACTTCAGACAAATGGCTGTTCGATCTCTTCTTAGAAGCCTCCAAGAATGGAGGGCAAATCCTTCCAATGACAAATTGTTCTGACTGTCAGGAAATTTCTCCTTAGTTCTAGGTTGGATCTCTCTTTGATAAGTTTCCATCCATTCAGAGGCGGGATTCAGCTGGTTCGGACCAGTTCTGGAGAACCGGTAGCGGAAATTTTGAGTCGTTCAGAGAACCGGCCAATTCCGCCTCTGACTGGCCCCGCCAACCCCATCTCTTCTCTGCCTCCCATTGAGTCCCAGCTGGTCGGCTGGGCCTCCTTTGGTTGCCCTGCACAGGAGAACAGAGCTGGAAAGCAGGTTAGTGGGGTGGGGAGGGAAGGGGGATTTTGTGATATA